TCCCAGCAACAGGGCAAGGAGCAATAGGCCGAAACTGAAACACAGGAAGCTCCATCTGAATATGAGGAAAAACTGCTTTACTGTGATGGTGACAGAGCACTGGAACATGCTGCCCAGAGAGGTTGTGGAGTCTCCTTCCCCAGAGATATTCAAAAACAGCCAGGACACAATCCTGTGCAACCTGCTCTAAGGTGAACCTGCTTTAGTACGGGGGTTGGATTAGATGATCTCCAGATATCACTTCCAACCTCAACAATTCTGTGATTCTGTGAACTTGAGCAGTGCAGTGTGTGTGCTGCACTAGTGACCTTCTGCCTCTGCCAGCCCAAGAGGAGAAGAGGATGTGTCTGTGTGTGCCTGTGTCTGACGTGAGTCCTGAGTGTGGGGCCTGTTGGGGCAATGCCTTATCTGTGGCTGCTTGTGTGAACAGCTGTGTCTGTGTCGTCTGTGTATGTGTGTGTCCACGTGTCTGTGTGTCTGCGTGTTTCTGGGATACATACTTACCTTTTCCACAAAGGGAAAAGCATCAGCCATGTCTGAATAGAGGCCCCAGATCCCTGGGCACCGGGCTGGGCTCCAATGGCCAGACAGGAGGAATTCGCAGGCCTGGAACAGCTAGAGCTGGTGAACACTTGTAACAGCTTAACATTATGCCATTGTAACACTATTATCTGGTTACTTCCCAAAACTAATTTTTTTTTCTCTTCCACTGTCCTTTAAAGTTACAAAGATATTATGCTTATAAAGACATGGAGCACAGTGATTAAGAGCAATATTTTCAGTGACTACTTCTTTTAGGTTCCTCCACTTAAAATGAAAAAAGGTTCAGCATAAATTATTTTCAGTGAATTTGAATCTTGTCATAATGTTGTAGTTAATAAAGCTGGAGCCCTTCTAGGGCATATGGGGCCCTTAGTGCCCTGTAAATAAGGAATTAAAAAAAATGAGGGATGAAAAATTGTTTGACATTTTTGAAAATTTGACTTCTGATGTGGTTAATATCACACAGCAGATGTAACAGGCTACAGCTCATTGCCTGAGGTGAGCTAACTGAGCAGAAACCACAAGGAGAGATTATACCCACAGAAACAGTTTATTACAAGAGAGCTGAAGGGCATTGGCTGTGAATAAGCAAGAGAAAATTTATGCTATAGTTTAACCATCACTTTAAACTCCTGAAGCTGACAAAAGAGGCATTTCAGCCTTCCCCAGATTACTTTTACTGATGCTGTGCCCACACAAACAGTTGTGCTGGACAAAGGGAGGTGATGGCAGAGGAGCAAGCAAAATAAATATTCCATTTTTAACTTGGAACAAGGTTTTCTCCCTAGTTTACCGCCTGCAAACACAAACTTTTATGTTGGCACAAGCGAGGAGTTAATATAAGGATAGGAATGAATGGCTGAGCAAGGGAACCATAATGAATCTCTTTATTTAGCTGGTCTATGCTGCATAAAAATGACTGCAGAATTATGGCATTGTAATTGCTTTGTGAATAAGTAGGAAAATAGATTTCCTTATAGTACATAGCATAATTCAGGTTGGAAGGTTACCTATTCCCAACTCCTGATAAGAACAGACCACTTCAGCAGTAGTTGAAGTGGCTCAGGGCCTTCCTCAGTTGGGTTTTGAATGTTTCCATGGTGGAGATGACACAATCCATTTGGACAGGCTGTTTCAGTTCTTAACCCTTCTTTGGAAATAATTTTTTCTTTACATCCTATTGGAGTTTATTTTGACAACATATCTCATCTAGGGAAGCCCTGACCTGATCACTCACTCTATTTCAAATGCAGCCTCCATAGTGCTGAATAAAGAGAAATAATTGACTTTCTTGATCTGCTGGCTAAGCTTTTGCTAATGCAGCCCAGTATGTGGTTAACCTTTGTCACAACAGGGTACATTGCTGACTCACATTAAACTTATGGGCCATCAAGATAACTTCCCCGCTAGTCCTTTTCATCAAAGCTCTTTTGTAGCCCTTCCTCTCCTGTTGCATGGAGTTTTCTCTCTTACCTTGCAGACCACTAGCATGTGATTGTGTGGGATGAAATAGCAGAGTAATTCAGAAAACTTGGAAACAAGCCCACGTTGAAACTATTTCCTAGAGTAGTGTCCTAGTCTTTTTGGGTCCTCAGAAATCTGCATTTTTTTTCTTTCCATATCTCCCTCAGTTTACTAGGGTTAACCTTACCCCTTTTGCTTTCTACACATCTATGATCCTCCTCTTTGGAAGTTAAAAGTAAACACAGTAACAGCAAAACTTCTAAAAATTAAGACTATAGATGAGAAAGGAAAATGATAAGAAGGCACAAACATGATGCTTAGCTTTGCCGTTATTAGGACTCTGACACAGATAGAAGATTGCATAAACAATCGAAACAGAGACTATGTAACTAGCATATGTTACTAACATTAGAATAGTGTTACCAGATAAAGCTCTTTTAAAAGTACTTTTTGTTCCCTTTGTAATGATTTTGCTTTTGAAATTACTCTGTATGAAACTCTTTAGTCGTTACGAGTGTGACTATCCCTGCACTGTTCAAATGCCTTCCCCTACTTCATTTTATTTCTTATCAGGAACAGCACTCCAAACACTCGTCTCAGTGTTCATATCAAAGCAGACAAGATCCAAACCTCTGAAGGACTGAGTTGCTTTATGCATTTTTGTTCATCACAGAGAACAAACACCATACTTTCAAGAGCGTGAGGTGTATTTGTAGTGCCTTGCCTATTGCAAGGAAATTTTTCTACTCTTGATATTCTCCTTTGCTCATTCTTTCCTCAATTGTTATAGCTGAATTCATAAAACAGTTCTTTATATAGTTTGTTTTATAAATGGAACATTCTTCAGGAACAGAGCAAGAATGTGTGCACAGAAATCACTCAAAAGTCACCTCTATTGGAAAAATACCTCTTACTTTCAATAGTGAAAATTAGTAAATTTTGACATATGAAAAACATCAATTTTTTGTTTGCTCACCTTAAAAATACCATTTCAACAAGCAAAGTAATTTAGGAGTAACTTGTTTCATATTCTTTTACTTCTATAATAATTTAAAGACACACCTAATTAAGGTATCATTTTAAGTGGGAAGAAAATGTGATTTTTAAGGTTCAAGAGTGAAGTTTAGATTCAGATGGTGCTCTTTATTCTACAATACAGTAGTTCTGAGAAAAACATGCATTGTATTCCTTTTTTCAAGTTCTTGCATCAGGTTAAGAGTTTATTTTGCTATTATATCCATCTCAAACCTGCTAGGAAACTACTTTCTCATTATATCCATCCCAAACAGCAGCAGATTATTAGACCTGGATTTGACAGGGTGAGATTGAACTGTACCAGTTTGAGAAATGGTAACAGTTAGAATATTTTGTGTGTTTGGGATTATTTGTCTGTGAAGACCTCCCACACACTTTGTTCTCAGTTTTTCTTTCCAGTTATATAGAATAATACATGAAAAATAATACATGCAAAAATTTTCAGAATAAGTATAACCTATTTCATGAATAATTCATTTCTGTCTTGTATAACTTCATTATGTCATGTATAACTAGCACTTTGTACTGTCAGGCTGAAAAGCTACAAAAAGTGTTTAACCGTGCAGCATAAATTCATAACTTGTAATTTGAAAAGTGACATGATATTGCACAAGTCCTAGCATTTTTCAAATATGCTTTCCCAGATACCTTATTTAAGATGCAAAAAATACAAGACTTAGAGTTATTTTTTTCTACTCATAGAGGTCTGCTTTTATAGCAACAAATCATATATTTCATAATCTTCACTGTCCGAACAGCTCTCATAAAGGAATTATTTTCAGCTATTGGTCTTAATTGTACAAGATAGCTAAACCGTAGCTAAATATTTCATCAGTTATGTCAGGTTAGAGAATATAATATTATACCCGTCTTCTAAGTGAGGAAACTCTGGCACTACTTACAAACTAATGGCTGTTGTTCCCTAATTGCCTAAAGAAACAGCAACACAGCTGTGAGTTTGCTGTGGTTTGAAGCCCCAAAAATGACATGTCCTGTCTGGCACCCGCACATTTGGTTAGTTGGTTGGTTGTTCCAGTGGGAAGAAGATGAAAATTTCATTTGAGACTGTATTTGCAGCTACAACTATTTGCTCATGTTTGTATTAATATTCTTTCATGCAGTTTCATAGGTGCTGACCACAGAATGTGTTTCTGGAGAAAATTTTCCTAGAATGATGGTAAGTTGCATATGCCTTGGGATGCCCTCCTGCAGAAAAGGAAAACAAGCAAGCTGGCCTTCCTCTTCTTTCATCTCAAACTATGCAAATGAGTTACAAGGTCCTACCTTCAATACTAATATAATCATAGAATCATAGAATTGTTTAAATTGTAAAAGATCTTTAAGATCAAGTCTCACCATTAACTCAGTACTGCCAAGTCCACCACTAAACCATGTCCCTAAACATCTATCTATATGTCTTTTAAAGAAAGACCTCCACGGATGGGAACTCAATCCCTTCCCAGGGATTTATACTCCCAGCAGAATCCCCAGAGATTTAATGACAGAAGTCTTTCTTTCTCACACAAATAGCAGAAAGAAAAAAAAAGTCACTATAAAGAAGGATAAGAGTCCCTGTACTTAGTTTTAGACACCAAAATTAGGTGCCTGAAATTTCCCTTTAGAGGTGTTTTGAAAGTCCCACTTTTCTCTATTGAATAGAAAGGGAACCTGAGCGCTTACTTTGACATTGCTTCATTCCAAGTTTAAGTTTGTGACAGATGCAAAGTAAATCTCATACTTCTTTGGGGTTTTTTCATAGTGTGAAATACACATTTCTAAAATTACTATTCATGGTTACTAACAGTTGTTCCTCTGCACTGTTTAGAAACAGCTGCATTCAGGGTCAACAACTTCATTACCTAGTCATAAATTCAGTTAGGAGCTGTGTGTACAGATCCTCACTGACTTGCTAGTGTGTCCAATAAGGAACAGAATCAGGATTAATTGTTAAGTCTTACCATTCTAGTGTCCTTCAGTCTCAGTGTTACAAGCAGACTTAAAAAAACCTTCCTGCTTTTGTTTTAATTGCTTCATTTTTCCATCACAATCTGGAAGACAGAAGAATCATAGTGATTGATATGGATTTCTTTTTCTGGTAAATAAGATTTGGTTTGCATTTTAAACTGTTGAACAAGGTCTTTTTCTTTCAAATACATATTTTTCCCTTTAAGCATACCATTATATATATATCTCATGAATGCAGAGAAAAGATCACTACACAGAAATGGGACATGAATGACATTTTGCTATCATGTATCATCATGGTTTTAAAAATAATATGTTTGTTCAGATTTCTCTCTTCACAAATTGTGATCCAAGAGCAAGGCGACCTCATGGTAACCAACAATTACAGGCAAAACATCTCAGAAACAGTCTTTAAAGGATAAAGCCTCAGGCAAGTTCTGTTTCCTGTAATGTTAGACGAAAAGTTAATACAAAGTGAGTCTTCAAATGAACAGAAACTAATTTGATACTTGGCAGTAGCTAAGGAAGAGTTTCTTTCTTCTTTAACTTCTTATTTTGTTTTGCTTTTCCTCTTCACACAGAGAGATTCTGTAGTTTTTCATACTTCTTCATCAAACCTTTAAGGCAGAAGAGTCTAGATAAGACAAGTGATTCATTGAGCCAGACTTCCCAGGTGAAAAGTGTATGTTAAAATTACCTATGAAGAATGCAGATAGGAATTTTATATTCACCTATTCCCTACAACAACCTGGCATGTGAGATTATGCGGACATGCAAATTTTCTTACTAAATTCCATTTTCACAGTCTTTGAACCAGCAGTAATGCTGGGAATGCAACTACTGCTCTTCTCCATTCAGTATGCAGGTCACTATAAAATTGCTGGTTCAGAACCTCCTCATCTGGCCTGCTATCACCTTTTCATGTCAAAAAAAGTTGCTAAAGACATCAGTTCTAAACCCAAAGAGGACAAATAGATGACTCTGCCATCATCTCTTTGTAGAGGGGTTTGCTCGATGTTTCCTTGGAACACTTGACCTTGCAATGTCATTGCAACAAATTAATTCTGGCCTATAGGTAACTTATTTGTGTAGAAGTTGGCAGAAATTGGATGATTTATCAATCTTGTCCCTCATTTGCAATTGTAAATAGAGTATTGAGTAGGCAAGTTCTATTTTCATCATACAAATTGACTGTCTGGTACAGAATTATTCAAATACTAATCCTAATTTGCACCCTATGCAATACTATTCAAGTCAAAGGGTAAAGCTGGGGGTTTGACCTCACGCAGCAATTGACCCATTTATTTTTCATTGTGTTCTGTTTGATGCTTTATTTATTAGAGAGTAAAGACTGCACACAGCCTGCAATTGTTATTCCTCAGATGAAGAAGAAAATTTGAAGTCCTTTGCTGAGGCAGTTATGCAGCTGAGTACTGTGATCTTCGTTGCTGAGCTGTGGTTGTCACCAATTAATTAATCTTACTTCTAATCCAAGTTTTAAAGCAATGTAAACTTCATGTGGTCAACACAGATCTTAGAGCCTTCTTCCTCCTGCTGTGTTGGTAGAAGGTTCTCTAGCATTAAGGATGTAGTTGCATGAAAGGAAGAGTTCAGAACTGACTGCTCTTTTTTTTTCTTCAGAAAATGTATTTAACTTGTTATTGACTTTTCTATAACCTTGGCTATCCTTCCTCAGAGACACCCAGATTCATTATTTACTTGACAAGTTTTCAAACAAGCACCTTATGTTTTCTCTCATATTCTCCCCTCATCTAGGGATATCTTCTGCATAACACTTGCAAATTCATCTCACTAACATTCCTTAATTCCTTCAAAGACTTATTTCTTTTACTGTGAAGTCTAAACATTTGTGAAAATCATTGGGTAGCTCGTATTTTAGAACCTTACTGGTTTGGTTCATGAACATTGTTCCAATAGTTTCAAAGTTTTGATACAACAAACTGCCCATATCATAAAATCATAAAATGGTTTGGGTTGGAAGGGACCTTAAAGATTGTCTAGTTTCAACCCACCAACATGGGCAGGGATCCTACCCACTACGTCAGCTGGGTCAGTCCCATCAACCTGGCTTTGAACACTTCCAGGGATGGGGCATCCACAACTTCTCTGTGCAGCCTGTTCCAGTGCCTCACTACTCTCTGAGTAAAGAATTTCCTCGTAACATCTAAACTAAATCTCTCCTCTTTTGGTTTAAAACCATTTCCCCCTTGTCCTATCACTGCCTGCCCATGTAAAAAGTTCCTCTTCAGCATTTTTTATAAGCCCTTTCAAGTACTGAAAAGCTGCAATGAGGTCTTCCCAGAGTCTTGTCCTCTCCAGACTGAATAACCCCAACTCACTCAGCCTGTCTTCATAGGAGGTCCTTCACAGCTCTCCTCTGGTCTCACTCCTACAGGTCTTTGCTCTGTTGAGGACCCCAGACTTGCACACAGTACTCTGGGTGGGGTTTCATGAGAGTAGAGTAGTAGGGCAGAATCACCTCCCTTGACCACACTTCTTTTGATGCAGCCCAGGATACGATTGGCTGTCTGGGCTACGAGTGCACATTACCAGCTCATGTCCAGCTTTTCATCCACCACTTTTTTTAAAGCTTTAATTGACATTTTCCTCTGGATTTTTTTTGGTTTAATATTTTTAGTGGTGCCTTTCCCAGTATGATAATCTGTGACTCCCTATAATAATAATGAATTAGGAAAACACAATACCACATAGCTGCTTTTTTATAATGTAAACATGACTGTAATGTAAATATGTTTTGTTTATATGATTTTTACATGCAAGAAAAAGTTACAAAATTAATTGGTGGATTTTATGTATAGTTCAAAGATTAATCCTTACCCCAACAGCTAAATACAAGTCAATGAGATGAGGGGAGACATAGAAGCAAAATTATGAAGGTGAAGTCTGACACCTTAATTCCGTTTTTTTCTTTTCCTTACTTTATCTGCTCACTCTTACAGCCTGTCCCCTAAAATGGTGTCCAGCTCCCTCACTTTCTTTCCGTCTGTCTCCATTATGGATTTTGATTTGAACTGTAATATACATGGACTCACTGTCATGAAGTAAATAAATGGAATGCTATAGAGCACTTGCCTACACACTTCACAGCTTTTCTTGTTCATGAATTTGTATCTTAAATTTATTGTTTTAATATCTTAAAGTCCAACAGCTTATTAACTGCTCTGACACTCAGAATACACTTTTTTTGATCATGTGCCACTCATTCTAATGGCTTTGTTTTTTGAAGGACTACTAAATCTTATAAGCAGAGGTTTAATTTCCTCCTCTGAAAGGAAAGGAAAAAAATTACTAAAGTACTTGATGTTGGTTGTATAGCAATGAGGTATTCATCTCTATTTCTGTCTATTGAGATGCTTTTCAGTCTAATAATTGGGAATTGATCATTGTAAAAATCTATATTACAGCAACAAAAATGACATATGCATTGCACTGATAGGATTTTAATATTGAAATCAATTTTTCATAATAATATTGTATGGGGATGCATGAACTTTTCACACTTAAAATGTATTTTGAGACCTTCAAGAATACTTAGTATTTCTAATTATTTCATGCAGATTTCTATTCCCCCACTTGAATTGTTTAGTTAATAAGTACTGGAATTTTAAAATTACATTCTCTCACATTTTTTTCATTATTATGATGAGAATTTTATCTTCTTTGGGCATTTATATTTCCATAGGTAATAAGCATAGTCAGTTGTTTCAAATCTCCTGATTCTGAACTGGTTTCTGCAGTTTTTCATACTGTAAAATTAATTACAGAAGTTCAGTAGTAGAACAGTTGGAGAGAATCAGGTGTTGGGTGAGGGGCAGAATGGAGAAATTCAAAATGTGGAGAATCAGTTGAAGGAGGAAGAACCTGAAGAGGGATCTGAGCCACAGAGATTGAAAAGCTGTTTCCTGTAGTCTGCGCATTAAAGTGTTTCAGGTTCAGCAGGAGAACATGGCAAGGTAAGCTTTGTGGTAAGGTGGTCTCCATCAGATGAAGCTCTTACCTTTGGCACACTAGGGTCCATTTCCACCAGAACTTGACAACAACTAGGAAAAACTTTCTGTCTTAATTTTCTCCTGCAGTAAGTGTAGTAACAAACAGGTTAGCACCAGCCCTGGCAAAGCATTGCACTAGAAGAGAGCATACACATGAAGAAAAGTAAAGGTCTACACTATGCCTCTCAGTGGAGGCAAAGGCATCCTTACCAGCTGTGAAAGCATTAGAGGGGATGCTGCTCTCCACAGGATAGAACCCATGTGGTCCCTACATGGTTCCAAACTGACTCTTGCCACATGATTCCAGATCTCTGGAATCAGCTTGGAGCATGTGCTGCTCTTCAATTTGTGTGAACCAAAGCTGTGTTTTTGTCTCAGTCAGCTAGAAGTGTTGAAAAAAGAAGACCAATTCAACCTTACCCTAAAGTTTGATGCTCAAGAAAAAGAGCTGACCCAACAAGTAGGGTATTTCAAGGAGCAGACTCTGAAACTATCTGGGACAGGCTTTGCATTTTTAGTCTCTCTTCCATCATTTTGATATCTGTTCTATTAGATACCATGGATCATGCAGGAAACGAGGGTTGGGAGACTGATTCTCTCCTTTACACTTAAGCAGAGGTTCTTGTCACGTATGCTGGTGTCATTCAGTACTGGGTGTCCATGGTGGGGGGCTGGCAGTGGGGGCTGCAGGGCAGCCACTGCAAGAAGTGTTTATGGCTGCCCCATGGTGGACACAGGATCTCAGGGAAACGATATTTTGAAAAGGGCCAAACACTGCAAATGCAGTGAGGACTGAGGAGAAAATGTGAAAGAAACAGCCCTGAAGACACCAAAGTGAGAGAAGGGGGAAAGGAGGAGGTGCCCCAGGGCAGAAGCAGAGATTCTCCTGCAGCCTCTGGAGGAGACCATGGTGGGGCATAGGAAAAGTGTGAGGAGGAAGGAGTGACACAGTGGAGCTCTTACGGACTGGCTCCAACTCCCACTCCCCATCCCTCTGCATCATTCATGGAGGAGGAGGGAGAGGAGCTGGGAATGAAGGAGTGCTGTGGATC